TGTTGTTGTCTCCTGAAACTATATATCACAACCCTCAGGGATACCCTGAATTAGAATCTACTGAGATTAGTACTTCTGGATGTTAAAGATTGTTTCTGCGCTTGAGAAAAGCTGTATTTAATATCTGCTTTATATCAGTATTTTGCTGGCTCTTCAAATATAAACTCCCCTAAATATAACTAGAAAGTAAATGTGGTGTTCCAAAGATACGAGTTTTAAACTGTAATATGTGCTAATGAATCAGTGCATATATTTTGATACCATCGAAGACACTAAAAATGCAGTGTGTTAGTTTTTAGTAATGTTGTCAGTTAATAATATTTTATTCGGAATGGATAAATTAATAACACAAAAAGATAAACTTTATATGCAAAGTTTCGTCTTGTTTACTGTAGAATTATCTGACATCAAATAATAAACACACATTTTTAAAACTTAACATAAAATGCAAGCACGATTTTTTTATTTATACGGCATCACCAGACAACACCCAATAACTAACACATTGTTACACTACAAGTAACATATCGTTGAGTTTACTGTAGTCTTATCAATCAAACATCCAATAACAAACATAAATTTTTTAAACATAAAATGTATGCAACGTTTCGTCGTGTTTACTACAGCGTCATCAGGTAATACAGAAACATATGTATTAAAACATTTTAAGCCATTAATAAAAAATTATTTTTTTCTGTATTAGGTGAAGAATGATGTTTTAATTTTTTACCGTTATTCACTTTCGCTTACTGGTGCAGTCTTGTATACAGTAAAGTGTTTGAATGTGTTTTAACCATTATAAATACACATCTTTAACTTGAAATTAAGATATTTCTAATTAAGAGCTCTGTTACGTTTACTGACGATATTTCATATTATGTTATTCATATAATATTTATAAACATTAACTTTTACATAATAAACGGCCAGATCTGGAGTAAAAGACTCCGTATGGTTCAGGATAGCCGTCCCTAAAATTACCAGCACTCGTGACCTGAAGCGGCGTGTACTTACGGAATAATGGGATTGACTATTAATGCGTGTTTGGTAGCACCACGTTTCGAACCCGAGATCCTCGGCAATCCAGTCCATTACGATAAACACTAGGTCACGCTCAGACCTTCTCACTTGTGTTATTCAAGAATGAGTTTCACGATTATTTTTCTCAATATTGAAATATTTGTCTCTGACGTTGCTCATGGAATGATATTAGGTATTAAATACTAAAGTTAATACATTTTAATAAACAGCAAAAAAAATTAATATATGACACTTAATATTTTGGGAAATGGTAGACAGTCGTAAGCCTAACAGTCACACAAAAATAATTCTATAAAAAATTAAATAATACAAAATAAAACCCCTTTCGCGTAAACACAAGGAATAGAATGGGCTCCAAAGAAACTTTCTAGATTTGAGGCGTAGTTCAAGTAATATATTTCTTTATAAGATGTTTCTCGTATGACTTTCTCTGACGCAACGCTTTGGTCATTATTGTCACGCACAGTGAAGGTAGACATTCTAGTTTCATAAATATGAATCGAATACAATGTAGGAATCTATTTTGAACCATATTATTGCGCCATCTAGTGGCTACAAATAAAAATGTTATACCCTGGTTTTATACTAAACTACATATCTAAATAATATATTATGGGAGAAACCATTAATAATATGAGATTTCACTATGAATGTACAAATAAGGTGAAAATTTAACGCAATGAAAAATATAACTAAAATGCGACAATGAGCGCATTCAGTGTGAAGGGGTAAACTTAGTGTTAAAGTTCCTTGAATTAGTTTTATTAAGCATTTACTATATATATATAAAGTTTAATGGTATAATTTCAAAATGATCTATTTATCCATTCATATTCTTAAAAAAAATAATACATATGTAAGTAGCACGACCTCAACGCGAACTTTCTTTAAACGTATTGTATTATTTCTCTCGAATAACATAGAAATCATACTAGTTCGTAATTAAAATACATAATTAAACATTATATGTTTTCAAAATTTTCAAATGAACGTATTCTTATAACAAGTTTTAAGCATTGTATTTGACAGAATTAGACATTTGTGTGGTACTACGTAAACATGATCCCTATACTTGACTAAATGTTCTAATGTACATTATTTTATAAAAAGCCTCAGATGGTAGCTTACATTTTTTGAGTATTAATAATAATTATATACTCTAACTTCAAATGATATATGTAGAGTATTTTCTAAACTCTTGTAAAAAACGTCAGTCACGTATTTCGGATCATAATCATATATAGTGTAATCTGACATAATACCATAATAAACTAGTTTCCATCCGAAAAATCATTTATATTGGATCATAATCACCTAAAATGTAATCTGACATAATAGCTATAATAATCTAGTTTTCATCCGAAGAGTCACGCATTTTGGAACATAATCACCTATAGTGTAATCTGACATAATAGCTACAATAGACTACTTTTCACCTCAAGAGTCATAAATACTGGGTCACAATCACCTAAATGTGATCTTACATAATAGCTATAATAGACTACTTTTCACCTTAAGAGTCATAAATATTGGGTCACAATCACCTAAGTGTGATCTGACATAATAGCTATAATAGACTACTTTTCACCTTAAGAGTCATAAATATTGGGTCAGAATCACCTAAATGTGATCTTACATAATAGCTATAATAGACTACTTTTCACCTTAAGAGTCATAAATATTGG